TGGGTATTGGGTTACACAAGATGCCTGTCCCCACGTCGTCGGTTGTCTCTCGCCTATTCTCGCCTAACTGTTAGCCCCCCATGATAAACAAAAGACTGACTTCATGTCTTGCTTAGGAGACGAGAACGCTGGAGAACCCTGGTGTCGGCGAGCTCCAGATTTCGATTCGGAGTACAGGCATTTGTGGTTCCGACGTCAGCTATTACAAGAAGTTTGCCAATGGCGACCTCTGTGCCTGCCATCCCCTGTCCCTGGGACACGAGTCATCAGGAGTTGTCGTTGCCATTGGATCGCAAGTCAACGGCTTCAAGCTTGGCGATCGCGTGGCTCTCGAAGTCGGTGTGCCTTGCAGCCAGTGCTCCACCTGCAGGAAAGGCAGGTACAATCTATGCAAAAAGTTGAGATTCAGGAGCAGCGCCAAAACCGTCCCCCACTATCAGGGCACCCTCCAGGATCGGATCAACCACCCGGCCAACTGGTGCCACAAGATTCCAGACCATGTTTCCTTCGACTCGGCCGCTCTTCTCGAACCCCTTTCCGTCGCTATCCATGCGGTCAATCGCGCCGCCCCAGCGCCTGGCTCCACGGCACTCGTCATCGGTGCCGGGACAGTCGGCCTGCTGACTGCTGCCATGGCGCGACAGGCTGGCTGTTCTGAGGTCACCATCACGGACGTAGATGCCGGCCGGGTCAACTATGCCATCACAAAGGGCTTCGCCACGCACGGCTATGTCGTGCCCAACATGCAGTCTGGCACCTCAACTCCGGCCGATTCGGGCGTCATGACGCCTTCCAGCATCTTCTCAGTCCAGAGCGTGCAGAGCAAATTTGACGGCGCAAAGTCACTTGCCGCCGAGCTTTTGGCCATTACCAAGGTGCCTGAGTACCTTGACGACGATGACGAGCATGACGGTGTCGATATCGCTTTCGAGTGTACCGGCAAGGAGGTCTGCATGCACACCAGCTTATATGCGACGAAGCCGGGCGGCAAGGTCATCATGGTCGGCATGGGCACGCCAGTGCAGACACTGCCTCTGTCCGTCGCTCACCTCAAAGAAATTGACATCCTGGGCATCTTCAGATACGCCAATACCTACCCGACGGGCGTTCAGCTTCTGTGCGCAAAGAACAGAGCCAACATTCCGAACCTCGATGACATGGTCACGCACCGTTTCAAGGGGCTCGAGAACGCTTCCAAGGCGTTTGAGCTGGCGAGTCGGACGTTTGACGACGAGGGGAAATTAGTGCTCAAGGTTGTTATCGAGGCTTGAGCATAACCACCATACGTCCCAGACCTGCGGCACTTCTCAAGGATCGATTGGTTGGCTGGCATTACATCCAGCTTATGATACCCTGGTGGCAGAAGGGGGCGGTGGACAGGATGAGGAGGTCGCCCCATCCGGAGCGGATGGACGGTAGCGCATATTTACGAATACAACAGGTCGCGACTAGCATGCCTAGCAGGGAGGGAGTTTGAGGGTTTGCAAGGATACAGGGCACAAAACTAGATAGGATTCACATCAGGAGGTTATTTCTTTCTTTTTACGCTTAAGCGAGCACTTGGGTGGACTGTTCAATTTCAAGGGGATATTTTATGCCTGAACCTTGATCACCTGAAATACAGAGGTTATGAGACGCCAACGTGCCGGATGCAATTTGTCGTGTATCGTCATTACTCATTGATCCGTGATCTTTTATTCATCACGCGGGAACTCATACTCTCCCTGTCAGCTCATGACCATCTCTCTATTCTCCTGTTTCGTGTAGGTGCAATGTCATACCTTGAACCCTGAACGCCTTGCAGCCATGATGCCATTGTAGAAAATGCATTTTGCTCTTTTCCCTGCCCAAGTCGAACCATTTCCCCTTGAACGGATCCCGTACGCTCAAAACATGATGTCCCCAGCGCCCTGGATACCGTAAGGGCTAGGCCTACCCGTGGACATCTCCCAGGGTGTCCTATTCCGCTGGTCGCGGGCCTTGGCCGAGTCGACAACGTCGAATTTGCGACCCATGGACCGCACTTCCTGCACGCTCTGCATGACGTCATTGAGGAGGGAGACGAGGTGGACGTCGTTCTGCTCGCATACCACCTCCCTCCGGAAGGCCTCAACATCCGACGGCTCAACCAGGTCCAGTCGGCCGACGAGTGCGTGAATCTGTCGCAAAATTGTATTCGACGGCGTCGTCTCGTGGTCGCCTGCAGGTTGTGCAGACATTTCCTTGCCCGAGACGTACGCCGCGGGCAGACGCTCGAGGTAGGTCATGATGAGGTGGATGCGTGACAAGAGCATCTTGGTCGCATTGGCCTTGGCCGTCAGCGCGGCGATCATCTCTTCTTCCTCCGGCGTCAGCGTCGCGTCATCCTCTACCGGGAGGAGGCTGTCGGCTTTTTGCTTGCCCTTTCCGCCGGCGGTGTTGACGTCCTTTCCCTTCTGCTTCTCCTTAGGGGGCTCGACGGCGGTAGCCGTTCCGCTGCCCCGCGCCACAAAGTCCATGCTGATCATCTCGGCCTCGCCCGTCTCGACTGTATAGCCCAGCTCGCGGAAGCGGAGCTTCAGCGTAGACTCGCCGTCTTCCATCGTCTTGTCGCCTTCCGTATCGGCGGCTTTAGCGGCGTCGTCGACTTCATAAGTTGCTCTCGTACACGGTCAGAGGGAGCTTGCCGCCTACAGAATGGCGAAGACCTCCTTCTGGTGGAAGCCAAGGAGGATGGCCGACTCGTTAATGTGGTTGAGGATGGTGTTGTGGATATGGGTGAGTTCTTGGGTGGGGCCCGTTTTGGGCAGCAGCGTGTACCAGCCGACAAAGTCGAGATTTCGGTCCTTGTGGACAGCACGCACTGCGGTGGATGTTAGCAAGGTACGTGTGCGGACCCAGCTGTAGTTCTCACTCTGCTCTATCCGTCCAAGCACTCTAGGCAGGTCCAGACTGTATTTGTAGGGCGTGTCGGGGGACGGGGCAACATGGCAGTCAAAGGCGTGCTCGATGGTGACTTCACGGCCGTTGTGCTGACCCATTAGGCCACCAACTATGGGCCACTCATGTTCTCGGAGGTGTGGCGGGTGATGTAGTCGGAGATGCTGAGTAGCACGAGGGGGTGCAGGACCGCTTGGAGTTCAGAAGACTGATTCGAGATGAGCGGGTTGACCGACTTCAGGCCCGCGTTGGACGACATTTCAAGACCGACTTTGCAGCTGGACAATAGAATATCCCGGTCGAAAGATGGAGGCTATGTTGGAGTTGTGCCAGTTCTGACTTTCGGCACCTGCTCGGGTCAGGCGGAGAGCATGTGAACAGGGACGGATGCTGGTAACTGAAGTTGGAGATGGGAGGTCTCAAGCTCCCATTTGGTACGAGGAGCTGCCTGTCATTCTGCCCCGCGTCCCACCTTCGATTACGTAATATGATCGCGGGACAACTACCTGCTACGGCCATATCTTAAGGTACCTATGCAACTACATTGAGGCCAACATGCTGAGGCCCACCAGAGTTGGCCCGCCACACGGTGTCCACCCTTGGCACGGAGCTCGGGGTGGCTCGCCGGACACTCCGGCCCCATAGGTTTTATTTGCCAATGTTATCAGCAGTGGGTGACATAGTTAAACAAAAGAATTCAGACGAGTGCTATTCAGGTCAATTTGAGTGACCACGCTGAGGGGCTCCACCGTGAAGTCCACCTGCTCCTCACCTTGCTTTCTATCGAGACTGCGAATGTCCCTCTCGAGAGCCCCCTGTCATGGGTTTTGTGATCACAGGATCTTGACCTTCCAGGGCCATTACCACTTCCACTTTGCCGTCTCGCTTCCCAGTAGCGCTCACATCTCAAAACAGTGAGCCATAGAAAACTGCTAAAATTGCCCAAAACGTTGGCAAGGCACTACGACACCCAATTTCTCGCTCTTCTCCCTGAGACTATTCAATCAATTGGCATGAAATGTTGCGATTTAGAGCGCTTTATTAATCGATCAGCCTTCTGAATAAAGCAGCATAGAGCCTTTTTCAACCCTTTGAACTCTTCAGAAGTATGGAATACAACTTGACAGAGTCAAAGTTACTTTTGTCTGCACCGTTGCAATTTTGCATGGCCAAACCCCTTTCCTTTCTACGTCACGAAATCATCTTGCAAATCCTCAAAGATTCATTGTTTCATGAACACAACTAAACAAAGAAGAGCAAGAGTAGGCGGAGAGCCATTCACGGGATCCGGGTACCACCAAAATGTTTTGCTGGCCATACCTGATTCCCAATCATGAGTTCTTTCTCTTCAAAGTATGCATCTTTGGTTTAAGAGCCCCGTTCGTATGCGGCCTTGCCCATTTGGTGCGAACTCAAGGCTTGACGTAAATTGACATTGCTCCAAAGACCCCAGGCAAACGTTTGGTCCATGACAACACCCTTCCTCTGCTTGCCTGATAGACTTTGTTTGACAGCATTGCCGTGAATAATTTGGTAAGAAGCATACATATCATACAGTGTCATCTGATTTAACATGTCTGGAACCGCCTCGCGCTCCACAAATTTTAATCATCAACTTTCCCCTTTCCGAGCTACCTGAACCGTCCCTCAAGAGTTTCTATGCTATTCCGCATTTGATACTGCGGAATTTCTACGAGTGTTCAAGTAAAGTGGCGATGGCAACCCCGACTGGCCCTTTCGTTCTGAGACCTGCAACACCAGGTTCAGTATTACCCGCGAAAAGGATGGACGATGAGCTTCAGATTTTAGCGGCCAACCCTGTGAAGAAGAGAAAGCTCAACAATCTTAAAGTTGCCGCTACACCTCAAGCTTTCGAACATAGCACATCGGCCGCTCCATCTTCACGAACATCTCCGATGAACTCCGACCCCAAGAGATCCGGCCCCAAAATAGAGCAGAGAATCAGTACTGCGGCAGCGGTGCTGTCCTCACAGCCTCCAGAACCGCCAACCGCTTGGTCTGCGACAAGGACCTTAGGACCCGGGTTTGGCAAGTCGAATAATCTTGACACTCTCTGGATCGCGCCAGCCAGCAGCCTTTGCGATTCTCCGCCTCTGTCGCCTAGACAATTGCCGCAAAGATTGTTGCCTGGTTCTACAAGATCTCAATCGATTCGAAAATTCACAGTTCCAGTCAAGAGTGAGGGTTGCGATGGGCTTGGAAGCCAAGCGTTCAGAACTGGAATGGAGGGTCACATGTCCGCAATGACCCCTCCTTATATTGCCGGAGCAGCTCCAGACCCAGCAGAAGATGCGATGATAGCCAGTCTTGCCGAGGCCACTGATTTAAAACCATATGATACAACTGAGGGGTGTGGTTTGAACGGCTGGCTTCTTGAATTCCGGGACACTGAGTGTGGGCAGGACGGACTACGGCATAAGGTTCGCGTCCCGCCAACCCAGATTGTTGACCACGTGTCACACGCCAAGAGCAGTGGCAAGAAGAACTACCACAGTCAGTCCTCCATGAGTCTCATGTATCAGTCTTCATCCCCTCAGCCATTGAGCCTCGCGTCTAGATTAGACTTCGGCCGCAGGATCAGCTTCCGTGAGCTCGACCGCCCCCCAAACAACATGGAACAACCTTCGGTGGCGCCTCCAAACCCATCAACGAGCCATAATGCAGCAGCCAGTTCATACAATACTACTTCAATGCAAGATTACAAAGATGGGTCAAAAGCTCAGGGGACTTGCTTGAAATGCCTTCAAGCCAAGCTCCGGCAACGAGCAGCAGCAATTTCGGCGAACGAGACACAGTCGTCTCTAGCACCGGGTTCCTTTCCGACCTCGAGTCTGGCGCAACCAGCTTGGCCACAGGGATTCAATATGGATAGCACAGCGAGTAGGAATATGATGCCGGCTGCACATGGTCAATTAATACCTTCGCAGTTCATTACCGGACTGGTGGGCTCCGCTCAACAATCCCAATTCCTTGGTCTTCTACCCCTCGGCCAAAACACGACCAGACCTACTCCGTTCTCTTTATCAACGGACGATACGCTCGGTCCCCGGAACTCACAGGTGCCGCTCTATTCACCTCAGGCAACGACTAGTAGTAAACACTTGATTGTCGATATCGCAGACACATGCGCGGAAGTGTTTCCTTTTGAAGCTTTCGCCAAACGACACCACCAGCCCGTCCAGAAAGTCAGGGATGTCTTTAGCGCCATCATACAAGTACCACTGCTGCGCTGCCCAGCGGACAAACGGAGAGCGGGTAAGCTGGGCACAGCTCGATTAAAGGAGTACACTCAGGCCAAGAGGAGAATAGTTTCAGAATAGTTTCAGACAACGAAGACCGAGGAGACATGCACCGGAAGCTTGGTCAGGAAGACCAGTATTTTTCAGCTTGGGATGTTGCAAAGTTACTCGGCCCGACTGACGCACAGCCGGAGCACCATTTCGATTCCGTTGGTCCTTGGTAAGACGCCACCAATCGATGAAATTAACCTCGCGGTGTTGTACGGAAGGTGAAGATGGAGACAAGACATGCAAAGTCTCAGGTGCGCCCTTCGTAGCCAATACGCACAGAATCATTTATGGGACTACATCGATTTCGCCCACAACACATCGTTTCCTTTACGAGTTTTGCAGAGAGTAGCATTCTTTGCGCGCACATAACGAGGTAGTTCCATCATGAGATGCTCTAGCCTCACCATCTCCTCCTGATTCTCTGTTCTTTTGGCATGGATGTATTGTGTCATAAGCAGCTCATGGCGACTTTCGTAGGAAAGCTTCGTCCAGTGTTTGAGGGCCTCTTGGTCGCATGGGGCGCATGTGTCGTTGATGGAATTCTTCGTCACTCGTTGTGCTTTGCACCTCGATGTGTTTTTGCACATGCTGGTCGATTTGAGGATATGGCCGCAACCCATTGTGGTTTCAGTCGTTTGACACATTTCGAACACACAAGTTTTCGCCTCTTCGTTTGTACGATGCTCTATCGACTCTGTTGGCGAAGATCTGCTGATTTATAGCTCTTCAGTATGTTGAGAATAGAATACAATAGACGTTGCAGGTTGTGTGTTTGGTGATTTCTTTGTCAGTGATGATGCGTTGGCTTTGATCATCCCCATTGAAATCACATTAATATGTATCAGAAACATGGCTGCTTTCAGAACAGCTGTCCTGAAAATGTACTGACCGACATTAACATCCCGGCAATGATAGACTTTCTGGACCGAACTTCATGCGCAAGACGGAGATGAATTGCATTGCACACCCAGGTAGGACATGCATGTCCAATTAGTGGTTTTCGGTCTGTCTCGTCACGCCGATGTAGGCTGAATAACCCACGAAGCTAATGAAGTGAGATATAGTGACTACAACCGACAGAAAGAGAGAAGGCTCTCGACAATTCCACACGTATGATGTCGAGGTGAGGGCAAGTCCTCAAGAGATGAGGCAAGATCAAGAGTCAAGATGGTCGGCCATTTCTTGGAGGGCCGCTATCACCTTGTTATCAGTCCAGAACAGGACTAGTGCGGGGTATGAATCGAGAAATTTCGTCTCCGCCAGGCTCGCCCAGCAACATCTACACGAATTCAACAACGGGCCACAGCTTCTCAGACGACAAATCACGCTATCGCCGACTTCGAGAACATCGGTCCGAGCCTGAAAATCCCAAGACAACTCCGAAGAAGCATTTCGGATCAACAAAATGGGCAAGAAGAGGGAGAGAGACGAGCAGAACCCCGCCCATGACGGCGACAAGATGGATGAAGATGACTCTGAGGATGACGTACGTTCAGCTCCCTGACAAGCTCCGTTGGCTGTCAAGCGCTAAGCTAACATATGGGTTGAGTTTGACGTTGTGAACGTCGACTTTGAGTGGTTCAACTTTGATGCCGACATCGACTTCCACGGCACCAAGGCTCTTCTCCGCCAGCTCTTCGACGTGGACGCCGTCAAGTTCAACATATCCGGCCTCGCAGACCTCGTCATTTCCCAGCCCACCATCGGCTCAACCGTCAAGGTCGACGACAAGGCGAACGATGCCTATGCCCTCATGACAGTTCTCAACATGCACGAGCACCGCGACAAGCCGGCGTTCGCCGACCTCACCAAGTACATCATCGAGAAGGCGCAGACGAACGAGGCGCTCGCACCCATCCCCCGATTGCTCACCAGCGGTGATCAAGTCGGTCTCGTGCTTACGGAGCGTCTCATCAATATGCCGACCGAGATTGCGCCGCCCATGTACCGCATGCTCATCGACGAGATCGAGGCTGCCGTGGAGGACAAGGAGCCGTACGAGTTTACACATTATCTCGTCCTCTCCAAGACGTACCGCGAAGTCGAGCCAGAGGCTGAGCTGCGCACCGAGCGCAAGGGCAAGAAGCAGAAGGGTGAGGATGGCTCCATGTGGTACTTCCACCCGGAGGATGAGGTTACGGCCAAGCACGCTGTCGCTCACGGCGCCTACTCTTACTCCCACGAGAACGAGGGCTCGGCGGAGAGCAAGAGGGCGTTCCAGGAAATGGGCATCAAGCCGCAGGGTTACTTGATGCTCGTGGAGGCGAGCAAGTGGAAGGGGGCTGTGGATGCCGTAGAGCAGTATCTCAAGCCGCAATGAAGAAAGATCCACTCGAGGACCACCAGCGCTTTGTTCGAATCTTTTTTTTTCTGCTTCACTTTGATTGCTTCTGTCTTTCTTTTGAACTCAGGGGTCTTGATCCTCATTAGTCCGTCTCCTCGAGCCGCTGCATCAGGTACTCCACTTCGACCTCCTTCGTCAGGGGTATCACAAAATTCTCATACATGGACACGACAGCGTCGACGTCAATCTTTGGCTTCACATCCCCGATTATCGTCGCGTTGGACGGGTCTGTTCCGTACGTCGTGACCTTGAGCCGCAGCCTCTCGAGCACCTTCTTCTCCACCTCTGGCTTGGTGATGGCGTCCGCAATACCCTCACGGTCCTCCGCCTTGATGAGCTTCACGAAACGCTCCCGCTCCGACACGAACTTGGACTCGGCGACGAACTTGCCAAAGTGGATGCGCCTCGACAGGGCCTGAAGGCACGCAATGTCGCAGGTGGCGCTCGAGCCGTAGTTCTCCTGCGACTCGCCGCGGTCCTCGCTGCGACCAAAGTCGGGGCACATGGCCGGCAGGAGAGAGTCGACATAGAACCGGCGGATCTTGTCGTTGACGTCGACATTGTTCGGGTGCAAGACCTTGGGGTAGTTGAGAGGCTTGAGGATGGGCTTCTGCACGACGTCTGGAAAGAAGGGGTATTCGTCAGGGGACTCGTAACGGCGGATGATGGACTGCAACCGCTCTTGCTCGCGCAGGTACCAGTCCACGAAGCTGAGCTCGCTGTCGGGGATGTTGAGGGCTCCAGGGACGTAGATGGACCTATTCAGAGCAAACTGGGCACGCTCGATGAGGTGATAGGTGATGGTGTCCTCGAGACGGCTAGCAGGGCTACGTGTTACCGACTGCGCAGGACAGAGACGGTGGGAGGGAGTTTCTCACATCAACTGGTACCGGATCCGGTTCAGGTCGAGAGCTTTGGAAGCATCGTTGAGGTCGATGAGAGAGTCCATCACGGCGGGAGCTGGAAAGTGCCAGGACATAAAACGCTGCAAGGACCTCACTGAGGAGTCGATCAGTTACATGCAGGTCAATTGAGGAGAGGGAGTCAACGTACGTGGCGTATCTCGTCAAAGCAAATGCGTCGAGTCAGAGTTTCGGGTGGAGCGGAGGGGCAGAAAGCGCCGCCGATGAAGCTCCGATAAAGGCGTGGGGTAGTATTCGTCGCAGGAACCTGTTTGTACACCCAGCTGTCGCCAGCCGAAGAAGCCCAGCGCCTGAAGCTAAAATCGGTGAGCTTCGGTGACTGCCATTGCTTGGCTGCGGGGTTCCAGGGTGTGTCAGGGTGGAGCAGCGCGTGCTTGTACTTCGCATTCGATTGCTTGCATCGCCTCAGCCTCAGCCGTCACACACGCGCATCAAGTGAACCTGGGTGGCCCGAGCTCCCAAGCCGGGCCTTTACCGATCTGCGGGCCTGGTGCAGTGGATTCGGCTTCGGCTTCGCGTGAAAGCAAGTTGAAGACAGCAAAACTCCCACTCGCGCACACCACCACAAATTTGCTCGTCCTGTTCGCGACCTGTGGTCTGCTCCCCCCCTTCCCCCCGACGACCACGATACCCAGAGCACGGATGGCCGACGCCGATCACCAGTATGGCTACTATGACGAAACGGCCCCCGATGACGACCAGCCTATCGTCTCTGTAAGTATTGCCGCCTCTGTGCTGCGCCTGTAGAGGCAAAGTTGCCGTTGTACTGCCAGCAGCGCATACTGATCGATGGAAACCGCACAGACTCGTGGCCTTGAAGCTTTCGGACGCAAGGTCACAACGACAGCGAGCCATCTGATGGGGCCCCTCTCCGAGGCAGGGCCCGGCAACCCCCAATACCAGAGCGCCATGGCCGAGGTCCACAAACAGTTGAAGCGCCCGACAATGCAGCGCAGCATGTTCTCCATGGCCAGGACGACGCCGTCCGAGATGGTTCGGGCTAAGCTGTCCAAGACGGAGATTCAACATCGTGCCTTGACCTATCTCCCCGACGAGCTGCTTGTCAACATACCCGACAACGACAACTCGTACTCGCTCTTCCAGGGTTTCCAGGCCAGCTTTCCGGAGCTCACCGACGAGGGCAAAAAGCACAAGCGACGAGTATCGAGGGGCAGGAAGTTGATTGACGACGGCAAGGCCACCGCAGGCACACCGCAGTCATTACACAACCTGAAACAGGAAAAGTCTTCGATGATGCACGAGCTGGAAATGCTGAGCGTCCGCAAAAATATGGCCAGCAGCGAGATCAGGGAGATTGACATCAAAATCGCGAACCTGGGCGGCATGCGCAGAATCATCCTGGAGAGGCTGGCTGGGTTGGAGCAGGATGAAGCTATCCTGGAGCACGATCGTGAGCACACTCGACATCCCCTCGCTCGGATCGCCGTCATGCTAATTACAAAAAGTGATTGATGTGGAAGGTCGCCTCGAGGATGCGCAGCTACTCGTCGAGGAAGCTGAAACGATAGCCCAGCAAACACCGACCCGAGAAGAGCTGGATCTCGCGGGTGACCACGAGGACGATGGCTTCATGTCCCAATCTGTGTACGAGAAGATTCCTGCCTCCCCCAGTACGCCTTCCAAGTCGAAGAGGCCGAGAACGGTCCGACGAAAGTCCATGCCTATCCTCCACGAACACTTCGAGCCCGGCACCGCGATCCGGGAAATTCGAGCACACCAGGATACCATCACAGCTCTCGACTTTGACGCCCCTTTCGGAACAATGGTCACGTCTGCTATGGATGATACTGTCAAGGTATGGGATCTGAATGCGGGCCGGTGCATCGGCATGCTCGAGGGCCACACTGCCTCGGTGCGCGCACTCCAAGTGGAGGACAACATTCTGGCCACGGGTTCTCGTGACGCCACCATCCGGCTGTGGGACCTGAGCAAGGCGCACTACGACCCACAGGGCGGCCAGTTCGGCAAAGGAGGCGAGGAGGACGATGATGGCATCGCCTTCGAGAACCCAGATGATCAGCCGGTAGACCCGCCCGAGGGCAGCATGGACGACTGTCACCTGTTCACGCTGCAGGCGCACGTCGACGAAATAACGGCGCTCCACTTCCGCGGCGACATCCTCGTGTCCGGCTCGGCTGACAAGACTCTACGACACTGGGACCTGGAAAAGGGACGCTGCATTCAGACGCTGGACATTATGTGGGCGGCGACACAGGCCTCAGCTACAATGGGAGACGACGGTCCTTGGCGGCAGACGAGCCGCTCGGCATCGTCGTCGGCAGACTTTGTGGGCGCTGTGCAGGTATTCGAGTCGGCGCTGGCGTGCGGCACGGCAGACGGCATGGTGAGGCTTTGGGATCTGCGCAGCGGCACCGTCCACCGCAGCCTCGTTGGCCACACGGGCCCCGTGACGTGCCTACAATTCGACGACATGCATCTGGTCACAGGCAGTGCGGACAGGAGTGTCAGAGTAAGTCTGCTGTCACAGATGTTTGTATGAGAGTCGAGAATGTGCTGACGCATGGACAGATCTGGGACCTGCGGACTGGGTCAATCTCAGACGCTTACGCTTACGACCACGGTATCACGAGTATGATGTTTGACGCCCGCCGGATCGTGTCGGCGGCAGGGGAGGATGTTGTCAAGGTGTACGACAAGCTCGAGGGCCGGCAGTGGGAGTGCGGGGCGGGCATCGTCCAGGCGGAGGAAGGCAAATCGCCAGCAGTCGTGGAGCAGGTGCGCGTCCGTGACGGATACATGGTGGAAGGCCGGCAGGATGGCATTGTAGGAGTATGGACATGTTGAGCGTAGAGTCTGGGAGGCCAGATGTGTACTACATACCTTGTAAAAGTACTTATAACTGAGTAACAAAGATGCCGATGAACGGCCAAAGTGAGCCTCGTTACAGTGCACTGGCTGACGGTCCAACTCAACAAATTGACTTGCACGGTTTCCAGGTTTGACATTATGGATGCCCGAGCTCAATCCAGCAAGGCGTACGACAGGCATGCGGTCGATTACTCTGACATGCATTGCGCGAGACATAGTTGAGACATAGCAGTTGGGCAGGACCTTGGCCGGGATGCCTGGCGGTCAAGATTTGCTGGATGCCTTGGTTCGGACGTGCTAGGCCGATAGCAACTTAGGATGTTCATCCTGGGACGAAGTGAGCTTTCGCAGTCCAGTGTTGCGACCATGTGGGCAGTCCATCGGTAAGTGGGACAAAGGGCGCGTCCGATGAAGATCAATAGAAAAGCACAGCCATGAATGGAGAAGAAGAGGCTTAGACTGTCGGTACTTCGGAGCAGGTGTCATGCTAAGCTTTGGAGCTTGGAGCAGCCAGCGCGCTGGACCTGCACGTGCCAAACAGTGGTCTCCCATGTTTCCATTGACACCCCCGCGCCTTCCACTCGGTGCACACTGCTGATGCCAGGGATCTTTCCACTTCCAACCAATCCAGGCGCCCTGCCCCCCGCCCTTTTAGCACCAACCGCTAACAGCCCCATTGTCCACTTTGGCCGTGACGCCCTCTCTGCAACCGCCTGCCTATCCTGCGGGGGGGGGGGGGACCTACCAGCCTCACCTTGCGACCGTCCAGAACCCTGTTCCACCTGGCACCTTTCCTCGCCTCGCATCTTCCCATGCATGTCGACCGGATTTTGCCTTGCGTGTTCTCCCAGAGACCTTCACCTGTTTCTCCTTCAGCATACCTACAGTATTTTGATTCAAGCGTCACCGAACGCGCAGCATCCATCACATAATTGCTTTGTGCTCACTCTACTTGTGTCTGACTCGGGCATTATCCTGCCCTTGCCTACCTTACAGTTACTGGCCTGGACTCAAGATACCAGGTGACTTCAATCGAGAGGACAACCATCAGTTCCCGTTGCCACTCGACCCCGATCCTTTCCAGCGCCGGGACCCGTTGTCGTCATGGCCTCGGCGGCGACGTCGCAATGCCATGAAGGGCCGTTCCCTGGCAAGGAGCCTCCTGGGTTTCTTGATCTGCCCACTGAGGCCCAAAATCTCATCTTTAATCATGTAAGGCGCCGTGCTGCACCCACACACCCAGCCTCGGCTGGGTCCGCCGCCGACCGTGGTTAACATGTCATGCGCAGTGCTCGCAAGCCGACCTCATCTGCCTCGCCCTTGTGTCGAAGCATTTTCGAGACCTCGCTGCCGCCCAGCTCTACCGCATTTTCCACATTGTATTTCCAGACGAAGAGGACCCCGCGTCCGACTCGCCTATCGACAGCCTCGCTGGTGGGCTGGATACCTTTGTCACCAGTGATTACAACTACGCCAGGTGGCTGCGCGATATCTCCCTCGACACCCTCAGCGCAGGTGAAAAGGCCGAAAGCGCCTACAAACCATACTTGTACAGCACAAGCTGCGGCAAGTTCCTCAACACCTTGCTCCTAATCACACTGCGCAAGGCCAAGTCTTTGGAGAGATTCCAATGGAACATCCGAGTCGAGCTCAGCCGCCCCGTCTACCAGGCGCTTCACCAGATCACCACATTGAAGCACCTGCACCTACGACTCCAAGCCGGACCCTCACTCTTTGAGCCGCCCCCTCCCCTTCCATACCCGATCCCCACTGCTCCTCAACCAAACCCTCCCATCAACGACTGGCACCCCATCACCATCAGCCTCCCTCTGCCACCACCGCCTCCGATCGGTCTCGGGACCGGCCTCGTCAGCTTGCCGTACGCCTCCACACCCGTGCTCCCCCCGCCAATGCCACCAGCACCCAAGGCCCATGCACCCAAGACTAAGCGTAAGCCTCTGCCAGCGAACGAACCTGCCACACTTTCTGGCTTCAAAAAGCTCAGGTCACTCGCCGTTCTCGACATTGATAATCTGGAACTGGTTTCGGAGATCAAGAAGTGTGTGCAAAGCTCCTACTTGACGCTCAACAAGCTCAAGCTCTCTCTCTCTCCCAGCCTGGCCATTCAATCTCGGAAACCGAACCCCAATCTTGATCACGATGAGGACGACCCTGATGATGAATTCCATATCGTTCCCATGGCCTCGGGACCGCACTGGGATGATGCTGCCGCACCCGTCAAGGCGTTCCGCGCCCAGGAGGAGCGGAAGCGCCAGGAGGAAGTCCTCGCTAGCGTCTTTGGCGTAGAGCCTGCCTGGATCGATAAGGCTCAGAAGAAGGTAAAGGACAAGAAGGACAGGAAGCTCAAACATGATCCCAAAGAGACTCGCTCTGGCGCCGAGATCTTCATGGAGCGTCTGAAGGAGGTGTCAGCCAAGCTGATCGCAGGTACAGAGGGCACGGAGCAAGACGATCTTGAGTCGAGGGAAGCTGTCTTAACCATGATTCAAGAAGCTGCTGAGAAGTACCTCCAGTCGAACGAAGCTAAGGAAGCGACCGAGACAGCAGCCAAGACCGAGAAGGAGAATTCTTCAACGAACCCGCCGAATGAAGTGTCAACATTTTCCAAGCCTGCGAAGCCAAAATTCAAGGAAGCATCCCCTGAGGATATTGATGTTGAGGAACCCATCCCGGATGAGGCTGACGATAACATGGAGAATAAGAGTCCGCCTGAGAAGGAAGCACCACCTTCAGCACCTCCCGCGACAGCAAATGCGACGCCTTCTAGCAGCACAGACAGTCGCTCACCAGATGCCCCAAAAGTCTCTTCCACCAATACGCGAGAGATGGGTGGAAAGAACTCAACGACGCCGCAGAGGAAGGACAATGACGACCCTACAACGATGAGCGATTACATCAGGTTCACCCGTGGTGCCTCTCTGCACTCATTCAGCGTCCACCTGATACCTGTCAAGGCATCTGTGCTCAAGGCTTCCCTTGACCTGAGGGTCTTGAAGAGACTCACATTGCTGAATGTTGGTCCCCAGACTAGCATATGGTCAATGCTCTCGAAGGAAAACAAAATCTCGCCATTGCCCTTGCGCAAGATCTTCACCGACAACGTGTCCATGGCTTTCCTGACCTGCGTGGCCCAATTGGAGGAGGTCACGGAGCTGTTCATGCTAGAACGTGCAGAGAATTACCGACCAGAAAGTTTCGCGCCAAAGACGTCAGTCAACATGGATAACATTCGCCGACTCGTGCTACGACGTCACATCGGTACACTCAAGAGGCTGATGGTTAAGAACGACATGGACTCAAGCTGGGATGCTGACGAGAAAACGGTGTTGTTGATATGCAACCGCGGGAAGCAGCTCGAAGAGCTGGCAGTGGGCATGGGAATTCGCGCAATGGTAAGCTCCATAACAGACAAGCCCCTTTGGCTTCCCGCCTCCCTGGCTACCCTAGAAAGCGTCAGTTGAAACTGACAAATTTGGTCGCAGCACACCTTCTTGCAGCATTTCCCGGGCCTGCCCAAACTGCGCGCCCTCAATGTCGTCCACTTCCGCAGCGAGGACACTTGCCCGTGGGTCATGCGCGAGACACGTCGATTCTTGATCGACAATCTCTCTCATCATCCTGAGCTCGCGCTGGAGTGGATCTCCATTGACGATGACAGAGTTGAACGTGTCATACGTGGGCCGTTCCCTTCAGATCGACCCAACAGCGACAAGAAGAAGAAGAAGGGCAAAGGCAAGGCCACGGTTTTGACCTCCAGCGATACGGAGACGAGCCCTTTCCCCGAGCTGCCCCTCCATAACTGGGACAACCCCAGCGACAGTGACGACGAGGACACGGACGTATCGGCGCAGTTGAAGCTGGACACGATTACAGACGTGCACTTTTACGACGTGTGGGCGTCCGCATGTTCAAGAAGGAGGTTATGACCGGCCGCCTCTGATCACGGTGATAACGAACCTATTTGCACGGAGGACATGGACAGGGGCATACAGGAGTCACGACGTTCTAATGAGTGCGTTGGACGCTTTTCTCCGCGGCTTGATCGATC